ATGAGGATAAGCATGGCCGTCATTTGAACTCACGTTTATTTAGTAACTCATTTAAAGTACAACAGTAATAAATATGTTTCAAAAACGGTACATTAAGGCGACACCGCGAAAAAATGCACCTCCTTTCATCGAATAGTATAGGAGTATGACACGACTAACGAAACTAGAATTTTGATATAGGTAAATTCATGTCTTTATCTTGAGTTTGCTTGCTCAAAAACACGATTGTAAAATTTTGACTCGATCATAATAATTTGTGAAAACACCTCTAAAAAATCACTATAGTTGAAATTACAACGAATTTACTTAATCTATATGTTTGGAAACCACTCGAATACATTCATAACATCAATATTCGTAATTTACTTGCTCATTATTTTGATTACTAAAATCAATAATTTTTTAAAAATATTTTAAGATTCTACGCGATTTCTAAGCGGTTTTAATCGTCGCGGGTGCTATGCAATTTTAGACCTTATGACGGCGTTTTTGAAGTTTTTTATAGAAATTATGTTTTACTCTGGTTAGTCCGGCGATAGCCCGCTTCAAAGGTTTTCGATGTGTCGCCTTAAATTAGTTAAATAAGAGCTATAAAACACGCTCCGCGCAAGTACATTTGTTTCCCAACTGTTAGATTATCTTTAAACTGTGGCACCACCTCATCAGCTTCCAACTGGCGGCCATATAATATATTAAATTATAACTACTCATTTATGCAAATAAATTGTTATAATTTGTTATATAGCTTATTTGCAAAATAATTAGGACACATGTAACCTTAACAGGTGGGCGTAAATGAAAAATATCAAGAGAGAGAGTGAAAGCGAATCAGGAGTAATGAAGTAGTATCTACATCTCTATAGAAATTACGATTTTTTACAGCTGACAAAAACTTAAATAGATGCTTATATGCCATGCCTTTTCATTTGAATTTTGAATAAAAATTTGAATACCGAGGTAATATTTTTAAAAAGAATTGACATGTTTGTCATAAAAACAATTATATATAAATTGAATTTCGAATAACGATACTCGACAAGTTTGTCTTAAAAAAAATATACACTCCACTAACAACAAACCTTATGTAATACTAAATTTATAATATTTGTTTCTGCGTATATTATAAAGATTTTTTGACTGTATAATGCATATACAAAATAATTTGAATATTATAATCCTATAAATATGAATGGGTATGCAATGTCTTTCCCTTTCTGTATCCGCCTGCCAAGCGTATTAAAATCAATATCCCCCCACGAGGCAATCTATGGTAGAAGCCTTTAACAGTGAGTTTTTGATACGCTGTAAGGTATAGATGGCTCAATAAAAATGTGAACTCATTTAGCTTCGACTATAGTCTAAAGGATTTGGTGAATCACGCTTGGTCAGTGAATTAATGATCACAGTACCCGTATATCGGGTCCTTTCTCGTGACCTTTGACACTGCTTCCCAAAGCCGTTATAAGTACGTTTCATTGTCAGCATGTAACTATATAAAATCGACCCCTTATCATGAGATGCCGGGTTCAAATCCCAGGTTGACCCAAAAAGCAAAATGATTGGCATTTTCTGTCAAGAAATTGTCATTAGCAACCCGGCGTCAGATAGTTGGCGATGTTTCATACGGGGATGAAACACCGCATCGGAAAGTACGTAAAGCCGTTGGTCCTGCGCCTGATTTCTCTCTAGTCCGGATTTCAGCTCCATCAGGCTATGAAGTTGAGGGAATAGAGAGTGCATCTGGATTTGCGCTTACACTAGTGCACTATATTCAGTTCTACACAGATGGCTAGTCTCCATTGAGACTGGCCGCCTTGAACGAATTTCGACCAGGAGCACATTATATAAAACTGTACTTTATTCAAATAAGCATGATCAAATACCATAATAATAGCTACGAGCTGTTAGTTCTGGACATGATAATTGTTGAATAAAACTACTTTTACGGATTTTATCGCGTTTAATTTACTTATTTTATATTACCGACGTTTCGGTTGCTTTCCAGCAACCATGGTCACAGGAGACTGAGGTTATTGACGTCCCGATGTCAGAGTTAACCCGGAGTACCTTCAGCTTTTTAATTATTAATTTTGGTTCAATCTACGCAGAATGAACTCACTGTAAAAATAAGTAAATTAAACGCGATAAAATCCGTAAAAGTAGTTTTATACAATGTATAGTGGTCGCGTAAATATAGGAAATCATTATTATAATTGTTATAATTTTATACCCACAGTCAATACACCTAAAATGACAGTTTTAAAGATGTAAGATTTCTAGTTCTATGATCCCAGACTTATGAAGAATTGGTGAATCGTGACAACATTGATGATAAAAATTGCTTAAAATGTTTGGTCCTTTTGGAGCCGGAGACCGATTATTTTACACGTTAGGTAATTTTTCTTATATTCTTTCTCTATAAGCGTTTAAAGAAATTGATTTTTTAAACATTAAATAATGCAATGCATGGCTTTCTTCATGTCGCAATGGATTTTGTTGAGTGCAGTACGGAAAGCTGAAGTGCAAGTTGCGAAATTGTGTGAAATGCCGAGCGAGCGCCGTGAGTCTCGGGTCAAGGCGAGGCCCGAGGAGCGCGAATGTAGATTGATATCAGAATCGACCCGGGACAATCGAGTGAAATTACGGTCACTGATTAGGATTGGTTCATTAATATATCGAGATGCTTAATTTTTTTTACATCGAATATTAAGGAAAAATGATCGCAGCAGGACTGTAAAAACTACCTTGGTATCAGCCTTCTTAGCGTTTTGGGAAAACTGTATGCTAAGGTACTAATTGAAAGAGTTATGAAAGAAACTGATGGTAAAATTTGGAATGTGCAAGCGGGAACTGGAAAGGAAATAGGGTGTACGAATAAGGTCGTTTCCATGCGCATGATCACGGAACAAGCCCAAAAACCAAAAAGTTTTTTGTGCGTTCGTGGATTTGGAAAAGTCTTATGGCAGAGTGGACAGGGATGTGTTTTGGCAAATACTGAACTCATTTGGGTTGAGCGCTGGGTTGATACAGGCATTGATCTAATATCTGGTATCTGTATAAGAACTCCAATGGTTGTGTCAGGATCAACGAGGCCTATTAGAACTGGTTTGGCATCCATAAAGGTGTCAGACAGGTCTGTGTGGCTTCCCCGTGGCTGTTCAACCTATTTATGGACAGTTGTTTGGAACATTTGAAAGTTGAAGAATGCAGGATAAGAATGGGTTAGTTAACCGTCAAATTCCTTTTGTACGCCGATGATCAAGTCATACTTGCGTCGTCGGCGGCCGAGTTGCAAACTTGCAAATGATGGTTACATTAATTAACAGGTCATTAAAAGACGAAAGTGATGGTTTTTGAAAGAGAAGAAAGTAAAACAATATGTGATATAAAAATAGAAGGAAAGTTGGTCGAACAAATAGATAAGTTTGTGTATTTGGGATGTGTGGATGAGGGAACGCAGGAAATAGAGTGAATGGGGCTCTACACTCTATTGTGGAAATTCAGAATGTGTCCAAAAAAGTACGTATGACAATTCACAATGCTGTGTCAGTCCCTACTTTAATGTATGGTTGTGAAAGTTGGGTGTGGCAGAAGAAGCACGAGAGTAGAATAAATGATATAGAAATGCGGTCATTAAGGAGTATGTTAGGGCTGAATCTGAATGACAGGGTGAGAAATTGTGTGATAAGAGAAGATTGTAGTTTGAAAGATGATGTTGTGACCAGGATTAAGAAAGGAATGCTTCGGTGGTTTGGTTATGTAGAAAGATTGAACGAGGAAAGAGTGACAAAGCAAATTTATGTTGCAGAGGTGAACGGTAGAGTCGAAAGTTTATCGACCAAATTGGCGATATGTTGAAAATAATCAAGAAGGCCAAGAAGCCTTTTACCGACGAGCGTGTATGCGTAGGTATATGGATGTGGAGGAAGCGAGAGAGGTGTGTAAGAATCGTGCCAAATTGAAGTCCATAGTCTCTAACCCTCTGGGTGACAGGCGTGAGTGTTTATGTATTTTTATGTATGTATGAATATTTAAAATATCTATTCCGATGTAAGTCAATAAATATCATGTTTTTAAAAACATAAAAGACATAAAGTAACAAAAAAAACGTTTAGATTGCTAAGAATATTATTACAATATAGTACACACTCAAACAATTTTTATTTCGAAACTAGCCATCCGCCCCGGCTTCGATTTCTGATTTTGTGAATTTCGACAACAGCATCACCTACTGCGTCCGTGAGTCGTTTAGATCATCCAGGTACCCGATTAAATACACACAAAAATTTCATCAAAATAGGCCAGTTTTTGCGAGACAACGGACAGCAATTGATTTTCACATATAGAGATAAATATCACAGATTAATCATAAGAACAGTCATAAGAAGCCAATTTCCCAGTGCAAGGGTGCAAGCAGTGTGTATGTGCAAATCTTCGAAATAACTCTTGCCAGCTGATCCAGCGATGTACTTAACACCTATAAAGTTGTCAACATATAATACGATATGATAATAATATGATTTTGAAAAGCTTTGTTTGTTTGTAATAATTACATAAAGCGTGATACGCTCGGGTTGCGTTTATATTTACATAATCCTTTGCTCGGTTTAATAACAGCCATTATAACGCATAAACTGTACGCTCTGAAAATAAAATGTGTAGTTACTCTGTGCCGATTGAAAACGGCTTTATATCAACAGTAATTATAAATCTGTACCTAGTAATTTATGTTGGTTGAGATGTATTGAATTTATAGAATACTTTGTACCCATGACTTTTTTACTATTGCGGATAGAAAAATAATAAGAATAATATATTATGTAATTTCTACTTACAGGTATTAAAGTGTTCTTAGCTACATATTTCTCACATAAATATATTTTGTATTTAATTTTTATTGCAAATTCTTGTAATTTTTTAGTTATCTAATTTAACAAATACGAATAACCGTCTTGTATGAATATTTCCATCGAATCTCACAAGTGTTGTCCCTTTCACAGAGTTTCCTGGCAGCGAATGCGAAATGCTGGTGGGCCGGAGCCCTAGCCGCTGCGACTGCAGAACTCCGGTACGCCGGGTATGTGTCTCCGGGCGTGCTGTTGGTGGCCGGCGCCCCCCGAGCCCTCGAAACCGTCCGTGGGGCGTACTCCCGCTCTGTGTTGAAGCCTCCACCTACATATCTTATATGTGGACTTGGTAAGTATTTTTACGAAATGTTACGAATTTTTTTATATAGAAAAAAAAATAAGACTGTTGACTGAAAAATGTCTCTTCGTAAACAAACTTCAATCAAGATATATTTAATAAAATATAGTTATTTTATTATTCGTGTCAACCAGTAGACATACCTCATTATACGGAAGATTTATCACGATCGCAACTCTTGACAGACGTACGTACCATATTCACAGTGTCCATCTTCGACGCTGATTCCTTTCATCGCTCTGAGAAATTTTTGATATTATAATGTAATACAGAAGGCGGTACGAATGGGTCAGGATGTCTTTCTGGCATTTCTCAGAGAAGCGTCCAACTATACCCACATGAGAACTGTACTGAAAATGTCTTTGTACAGAACTTGCTTTAAATTTAATCTTAATTTGTAACGTTTGTGATAGAAATATATTAGATTATTCAATAGTCCTTTTAAGATTGAATAAATTTGTTTTAAATTTGTACACTTCAGTAGGCAAGTATCGTGACAAGTCTCGCCTAAAGGCGGCCAAGTATAGCCATTCAGCGAGGCAACGTTGCCAGCGCTCTTGGCACTATTCCGCGGGAAGTAGGACTGTTTCAAAATTTTGGTTTTTAGCTTCTTTTATATTATAATAAATATTGTATATTATTTAAACAAATATAAAATATTATATCTATGATATTATAAAATTAAAACATTTATTTACATAACATTATATACAATATTTTATTATATACAATATCAAAAACTATGATAAAATAAATTAAAACTAGTAACTTAATTATCATACAGATATAAAATGTATCAAATCGTGAAATAAGGAATGCATAACCACTTTCAAATACGTAGGATTCCACATTGGTATTCCTACCCAATAATACTTACTTACTTACTTACTTATCTTCACGCACAATCCCTGACGGGGTAGCCAGAGAGAACAGATCGCCAAGTGTCACGATCCTTACATATCTCTTTCGCTTCTTTCAGATTCATATATACCCAATAATAAGCACCAAAATTTTAAGCCTGATACAAATCCATGAATTATTTAATTTATTCGTAGAGTGTACAGAGAGACACTGTTTCCACCTACGCGATAAGTTAAGTTTGAGCAGCTCCTTTAACTTGAATTAATTTTCAAACGGCTATAATAAACTTGGGACTCGATTGCATCTAGCCAACCCAACACAATGTGATTTATCGTTTGGACCAGTAAATGCTACGGTTTTATATAATTTTGAAGCGGTAACGGGCACCTTGAGAGAGTTATTTAGAATAAAACGACAGTATAAACAAGACTAGTTAAGATTATTTTGCATATAATTCTTGAGTCTAAAGGAATTTTATTAAACTTGCAAGAAATTGAAAAGCGAGAGGAAATTTATTCACAGAGCTTTGAGATTCTGCAAGGTTATAAAGATTGTTATCGCTTAGAGTTTTATAATGTTTATTATAATGGGTTGTAAAACAGTTAGGTGACGTTCAACTAAGCGTTTAGCTGCGGCGTTCGATTCCCGCATAGAATAAATAATTTTAAAGTTTATGAATATTTGTTACAGGTTTACGTGTTTTAGGTAAAGGTCTGTATTTGTAAAATACCACCACGAAAGAGGCCAAAATTATTGTGAGAGAGTACAGTTTTTTAATTGCAAACAGATTTATGCGTAAAATGAAGTTCATAGAACTAAAAGTGAAGGATCTATCTCACAGAATACCAGCATAAAATAGCAGCTTAACGCTGCTGTATTTCATATTATGAGTGTAGAGAACCGGAGACCCTTTTTACTGGAAACAAGGCATTTCATCTTAGTCCTCACGGGTGACAATGCATCTGCATTTTGGTTCGTAATCGAGGATAGATGTAGATGTCTATGGGCTACAGCAACCACTTGCCATCAGGTGAACTGTGTGCTCGTTTGTCACTATAAAAAAGGAAAATGGCAACCCTGTTGACTCTTTTAATAATTTTTAAAAACATATAGGTAATATATTAATTTAACTATGCTGATTAGGAAGTAAAATAAGAAGATAAATTAAATTATCCATTACTCTATTTACCTGAATGTTTCCTACTTATCGTTGATATTGTGGATGCCTTGCTAGAGAAGAGAAGAGAACAATAAAACAGTAAAGTACATAAAGTCAAAGCTTTTGCTGGAGGACAAAAAGATGAATTCTAGTAATGATTAAAAATTATTCATTTTGCAAACTAAACTGAATAATAATGTTGTATAAAGTGCTAAAGTTAGGCAGGATAGAAGTGGGATTGTATGTCATAAATATCAACAGAAGGGTCATATTCAAAAATATTGCCCAAATGCAAAACATGATTACGATGCTTACAGGACATTATTATTAATGAATTGTCTTATGCCGCCATATTATGTATTCGTATACGCTTTAAGAACAAAATCCTGAAAAAATTGTTTATGGTATATCACATTAGAAAATTCAATGTCTGTCAATCAACAAGCTTAACTTAAATTAAAATTTTAAAAAAATACACCGAAACAAAAGAATGGGTGAACAGAATTTCTTGAAACATAGCTAAGAATACTCGCAATTAAGACTATAGATCATAAGATACTTTTTAAACGAAAAGGAGAGAAAGTTCAGGAGCTATTGTGCTACAGACAGACACACAAATACACAGAAACACACTACAAGCATATAACACCCCTCTGTTTTCATCGGGGGTTAAAAATTGATTAAATAAAAACTTTATAAAATAGGTTCTTATAATATTAAGGAATGTACATGAATGAAAATACATCGGGGAATGAGATGATTGCTATTATGCTGGTTCTATTTTAATCCATTTAAATAACTGTATAATATTATTGTAAAATTTTATTTAAATAATTAAAAATTAAAAATTTTGTACAACCAACTTCAATATAAATTTATTGTATTAATAAGAATTACTCAAAAACTATTGGTCAGACATTTATTAAATTTATATGGGACCACATGTGAAGCACCAGCTTTCAAATAAAAAAGAATCATCGAAATCGGTTCACCCAGTAAAAACTTATGAGGTAACACACATAAAATAAACATACAGTCGAATTGAGTACCGGCTCCTTTTTGAAGTCGGTAGAAAATAATCAGCTTGTTTCTTGTTAGCCAGTGGTAAAAATAAATTGACCTTCAATAAGTATTTTGCTATAATCTATATTGAATACAAAGATTATATTCTATTCTTTTATTAATGCGCCTTGTCTATGTCGCTATTCCCACAAGATTACTTTACCACGTAGGTCGTTAAGAAAAAACCCTATCAGTGTTTCCCACGATTTGCAAACAACAATGGCGTTATTGCAACGTGTGCTGCGAAACGATACCTACGCGGTGTCGGCTCGTTTCATACCGGTGCGCCTACAAGCGACCTTGCAAGGCCGCCTCTCGCATTACTGCGCTAAAGCCGCATTAAACGAACCTGATAGCGAAATATACGACTAATTTAGCTCTCAGTTGAGCTTATTATTTTCATTGAGTTGTTTTTTTATACAATAAGGGTGAGCACACAGTCCACTTACCTGATAGTAAGTGGCTGTGGCCCATAGATGGCCCCGCAGATGACCCCTGAGGACTAAGATGGAATGCTTTGTTTCCAGTAAAAAAGGTCTCCGGTTCTCTACACTCACCAAACGATACACAGCAGCATTGAGCTGTTATTTTACGCTGGCATTTAGAGCGTGGTCGTCCCCCGGTTGACCGACCTATTTGTGTTACAACCATAATATAGCTGCAGCGTGGCTCTACCACGTTGAAAACACAATGCTATATGGAAAACTCTATTAAAAATATAAAAATAAAGTAGTGTATTTTCTGTCGAAGTAATATCTATTGAAAATCATAAATTTGTACAACTACAAACATGCGGTATATCTATATCACGCGGTATATCTATATATGTAAAACCTGAATCACTTAACCCGGCAACGGGTAACAGTATCAAAGGTGCGAGATGTCTCCAACTGCAATCGCCAATATGACTGCCAAGCGTAAATCCAACAGTGGAATTTAACGGTCAGATGAAACTAATAAAGAAGTTAGACTTGAGAGTCTAAGAGAGATGTACCTTTTATCTCAAGTCGGCAAACAAAACCCTTAGCAGAGAAAACCTTGTCAGTCGCCAAAGCCTAGGCGACTGACAAAGGGGATTTTCATTGGAAATTGTCGCACTCAGATTCCGTAGACGATGGTAACGCAGTGAGAAGATAACAGCTTTACACCCAACATTCCAGCTACTCAGCGTGATGAATGGACAAATATTCAAACGTCACAAATTTGTATTTGTTTAGCAGTAAGTCATAAGTCAAAATATTTTTATTCAAAACAAAGCATTTTTTGAAAGTTCAACCAACCAGAGTTACAAAATTGCTCCACTGGATGGACACACTGTAAGATCCATAAAATAATAATATCATCATCATAACAGCCCTTCACAAGCTCACTGCTGAACATCGGCCTCGCTTATAGCTTGCCACGAAATATGGTAGCGAGGCACTTTCATCCATCGATCCATCCCACTCCTTTTTAAAACGGCGGCAACGTTTCTGCAATTCCCCTAGTGTTGCAGTTATTTATGGGCGGTGAAAGACACTTACCATCAAGTGAGCCGCACGATCGTTTTCCCCTCTCCTAAAAAAATTCGACGTCCTCATGTTTTATCAGGATTTGCTTCATTATTCGCGAGTGAACCCAGTCAGTCAGTCAGTTTTGTTAGTACGAGCCTGCCACTCGAGAATCTGTCTTCGGTTATTAGTTTTTTAGTGTATGGCTAATTATATAAAATACCAGTGAGCGCACTATCTTCGCCTGAGTGGTATATATTAATGTCATATATTGTCATTATTTATATTAAGATAATCATCAGTGACCATTCACACATATCACTTTGAATTGCTTTCTATCTGTTCGTGAAATTTTTTTACATCGAATCAGCTATTCCGAAGATTAATCCAAAAAGACAGACGAACAGATAGAAAGACAG